GGGATTCGCTTTTCCGAAAGCAATGACTGCAGAAGGGTCGGATTTCACTCTGGGGCTGCGAGAAATTGATACGGTACCAGGCCTCCTTAGGCTCTGGAAGGGCACCATGGTTCCTTTTTTACGTCCCAAAGGCAGGTGGGGCGGGGGGGGGGAGGACGGAGGGGTTTGCCATTTTTGCGCAAAGCCATGTGCAAGAAAAGTTGTCGGGTCTCTTTGCCAGGCGAGAGCTTCGTATTCATCATCATTGATTCTGAACACACCCCCCCCCCCATGTTTGCGCAAAGGGATTAACACACTCACTCCCTTTGCTTATGCTTTAGCGTTATCCTTCCTTCTTATCTGTAGTCAGCCTCATCGTTCTCTAGGAACACCTCCTCGCCTCCTCCCCCMCCCCCCACCCCCCCCTCTTCTTCCCAGAAAAAAAGGAAACGCACACAGGATTATGATGGTAAACATTGGAATAGAAGTCTGTTCTGTTTTTAAACTTTTTTTACTTTCTGGAGAGAGGCCCTTAACTTCTTAAACCACCAGTATTTTCCCCAGCAATTTGTATTCAAAGTTATGGCTTGCATGCTGCCGCAACTTTCAGGGCTCGGCCGCCAGAGCAAAATGGCTGGCGGCACCAGCCGAAAAGAAGGCCTGAGCCGGCTCTCTTTTCGTTTGGCCGCACAGCGCATTTCCAGCCCCGGAGAAACGTGCCTCGAAAGTGTTGGTCGTTGAAACCACCAGTACCCCACGGGGTCTCTTAGGCCCCCTCTGGGGAGGCTCTGATGCAAATGCATATGGACCCGCGTGCCGCACCAATTCAGCGACCGCGTTAACGGCCTAAAAACGTGGAGAGGTACTGGTGGTTTAACAACCTGTGAAGGGGTGCAACCGAGCAAGACAACATTTTTTTTAACCACCAAGCAAGCAGGTGCATATCACGTGGACGCACATTCACCAAAAAAGCTCTTTTTTTTTCTTTTTTTTTCTTTTTTTCTAAAAGTCATCCTTGCGCAGGGGCCATGCTAATCTTCTCTGTATCGTTCCCGAAGGACAAAAAAGCTTTTTGGAGCTTTAGAACGAGGACACTCAATCTTCTCACGGTGTGAGAAGTCTTTCCTTTGTTTGTTTTTTTTAATAGGGAAAACTGGCTGCTTTCCCAATCGCCTGAATTTTCGGAGGTCGGGCCCGACGACGACTGCCATTGATAAATCTGATCGGCGGCCGTCATTTCGTTTCGGCCTCCGAAAAGGTCGGATGCCTACCCGAGGCCCGCTATTTTCCAAGCGGCAAAGGTACTAGTGGTTTAAGACACTTGTGTTTTTTTTTAACTTTTTTATCTTGTGCGTGGAGCCCGTATGGAATGCAGATGAAGCTATTGGGAGGAGGGAAAGGACAAGGAAAACGAGGAGACTCACTGCTGGAATTAGATAAGGCAAAGCTTTTCACTCGGTTTGTCGGAGCCACCGATCTGTATGCTGAGCTTGATCCCACACAATGTCGCCGATGACCTATCTGTATGCAAGCAGAAGCAGCAGAAGCAGCATCTGTAAATCCCAGGCGTCTACTGATCCATCTCGTCTCCATGCACGATCGCCTTGATACCCTCTCACCAGTCCCGTTCCAGTCCCAGTTCCAGTTTGACCATAGTGGGACTCGAACTCCAGCTGAGGTTCCGATAGATCTGTCTCTTCGAAGACACTGCCGCTTCTCTGTACAAGGCAAAGCAAACCCTATCCCCACAACCATACTGCATGCCCTAGTGGCCCCTCGCTGCTGTCGACCCAACCCCTGCTTGCACGAAACGCAATCGGAATCGATCTGCCGGCCTGAAGAACCACCCACGTGCCGGAAAGGTGCCGCCTTCCTCAGTGCTCTGGGAATGCCCTGCAATTTCTGCAATTTCTGCAGTTTCTGCAGTTTCTGCAGTTTCTGCAATTTCCAGGGCCCAGACACTAGCCCCTGTGGTCCATCCAAGGACTCATCGGACTTGTACTGGACCAGATGGTCCATGGAATAATGGACCAAGAGCTTGACCCTAGATTGCGTGCATGAAAGGTCGTTTCTTCTGTGGCCGCTCTTCATCCGTCGTCGCCGAACGGCTTTTCCCTGACTTATTCCCACTGTTGATTGGGACCGAATCTGAGTCTGATTCTGAATCTGCAAGGCATGGTGGTGGTCCCCACCACCATCTGCCAACACCTCCAGCTTCAAACGTTTGCACTGTGCCAGTTGCCTTGATGCTGATCTCTCCCATGTCATGCTTGTGGTGGTCCCCACCACCTGGCCGATTGCCCAACAGCCAGCCTCCATAGCAATCATCTTCACCACGAATGATCGATCGATCGATCGTTAAAAAAATAATATATAGATCTGTACAAAATCGGTCTAAATATTCTATTCCATTCTATTCTATTCTATTTTATCTATAGAGTCTAAAAGACTCTAAACCCAAACCTGTACAGATTCACAAGCACCCAACTGTTACGGCCCTTCACCACCCACTCGTTTCTTCATCACCAGTCATCTCCTCCCTTCTGCACCGCGCTTCCTCCCCCTTCTCCCCCCCTTCTTCCTCCCCCTTCCCCCCCCCACCTCCTAACCCCCTCTCCCCCGCCCTGTTACCTTCTCGCGTTCGAATTCGTCATTGCTTCCCACCTAGCCTGCGCTATGGTTAGCTCATATGCCTTGCCGCACAAGTAGAGATCATCTTGATGCTGTTGGCCTTCATTTTGCATCTTCAGCTGCCACTTGCATTCTTCACTTCCCCTGTCTCGATCCGAAGAAGCATGGATAAGCCCTAGATCAACAGAAGGCGACAGAAATGGATTACAGCCATCGGATCAGAAAAATGCTCAGCCCATCTCTCTCTCTCTCTCTCTCTCTCTCTCTCTCTCTCTCTCTCTCTCTCTCTCTCTCTCTCTC